CCTCCCCTTGTGTCGTGCCTCCGGCGGATATGATTACAGTACAACAAATTTGCTCAGCGCTGAAATGCACCAAGAACATGAAGGCCCCCGGGTTTGACGGTATATTCAACTTGATCTTGAAGAGACTCAGCATGAAAGTACAGTCTCTTCTAACCGCTATCTTCAACAGATGTTTGGAACTGCACTACTTTCCAAGCATCTGGAAAGTAGCAAAAATCATACCAATCCGCAAGCCCGGTAAGGATCCAACATTGCCTTCAAGTTACAGACCAATCAGCCTCCTTTCAGCGCTGAGCAAATTGTTCGAGAAACTCATTCTCAATCGTTTGCTCAAGTTTGTCGAGGAAATAACATTCTCCTTCAGGAACAGTTTGGATTCAGAAAGGGGCACTCCACCAAGCATCAGTTAGTACATGCGAAGTAACAAAGCTGTATCCAAGTCCACAGCCATGGCCTTGTAAGACTTTGAAAAGGCGTTTGACAATGTTTGGCATGACGGACTTGTGTACAAGCTTTGTAACTTCAACTTCCCATTACATCTGGTTAAAATCACCCGTAACTACCTCCAGAAAAGGTCGTTTAAGGTATCGTTGAATGGTTGTCTTTCCGACACGTTTTCCATCCCAGCAGGAGTCCCGCAAGGCAGTCTGCTGGGCCCCTTGCTTTACAGCATTTACACTTCCGACATTCCTCCCCTCGGAGATGGTTGCGTGTTTTTCCTGTTCGCAGATGATACCGCAATAGCCGTCAAAGGAAGGATGCCTCGCAAAATAACGAACAAACCTCAACGAAGCCTTAACGCCTTTGCTGATTATGCCACCACGTGGAAAATCAAAATCAATGCCTCCAAAACACAAAAGATCATGTTCCTCCATCGGCAATCGCCCAAACTGAAACCGGCTCCCTCTTGTACTGTAATCATGGATGGCACAAGGGTTGAGTGGTCCGCCGAAGTAACCTATCTCGGGATGTTGTTTGACGAAAAGCTCCTATTCCGCTCGCATGTGGAGAAAACCGTAATCAAGTGTTCCGCCTTGGCTAGATGTCTGTATTCGCTGATTTGCCGCAGATCCCGCCTCTCAAGGGTGTACAAACTGGCCGTCTACAAACAAATCATAGCACCTGCGATCCTCTACGCAGCTCTGGTGTGGGAATCATGTGCTCAGACTCACAGGAACAAAATTCAGGTAGCTCAGAATAGAGTGCTGAGGATGGTTCTTGATCGTCCTTTCGACACTAGAATAACAAATTTACACGAAGAGGCAGGCATTGCCAAAATAGATTCTAGAATTAACGAAATTAAAACTAAATTTGCACAAAAATGTAATTTATCAGAACATGCTTTGATAAGCAATTTGTATATAGTAGGTTAGGTGTATATAGTAGTTGTAGGTTAGTTGTAGTTGTAAATAGTAGTTATAAGTAGACTCCTTTTTCCAATTCAAATCAAACCAATCCCACCAAGGTGGTCATACTTTAAAATAGGCCTGATAGGACTAGAAACTGTAAATAATAATTAAAATTTCGCTGTACTAAAGTTGAAAAGACGCATCTGTGTCACTTGAAAAATGCATACATGTAAACCACACAAAAACAAGAAATAAAGATCATTTAAATTAAAAAAAAATCGTTACCAACATGCACAGTTATGTACACCAACTGCTCATTTGTTATCTACTTATCACTCAGTTGTTGAAATTTAATGTAATTGATAGATAAGGATCATAGTTTACTATAGATATGCAAAGAGTAGGTAAATTTTAACATTTGAATCAACACCAATGAATTTTTACTCCCCTAGATGTGCAGCGAGCATTTCTCACTTCATTTTACAACGCAAAAACAAATACAGTTTATTACTAGAATTAAAATCTACTTTTTTTACGTATCTATAACAAGCTTATCTCTATTCTATCTACTGCTTCAAAAAGAATTATGTTACGTCAACTGTGTGCCAAGTTATTAGCAAATTAGCAGTTAATGACCAAAACTGTGTATGCATGCTTAAAAGTCTGGCGGCAGACAACCTGCGACAAAGAAACTGTCTAGTCCAGTGGTTTTCAACCTTTTTTGTTCCATGCCCCCCTTTTCAGAAATTGCTCACCAAGGAACGGTCTTCATCAAAAAATGTTAGATAGTTAAATTCAGCACCTCGGGTAAATTTCACCTATAAAGATTGTTTGGGGATATTCAACTGTTTAACTGAATCCAACAAAAACGTTCCTTGAAACATTGCACATGTTGCTCTGTCGCTCATGGCAAGTCCGTCCCAGAGCACTAATCAGCAAGGTAAGAAAATCGCATTTTATGTTTGCTTCGTAACATTGCTTTTTATACGATGGGACAACCTGTTTAGTTATGATTTTTTGAAGTGTGCCTTGGCAGCGATTAAACGTGTTTGTTTTCTATTGTCGGGATTTTTTGCGATAATCTTCTGTCAGCGTTTTGGTTGGTGGCGCTACGCCATCCGGAAGAATTTTCGTTTGAATTATTTCCAAATGTATAGTCCAGTTCAGTTTTTACGTATTTAGTAACCGTGTTGCGCCAGTGTTAGTGATTTAGACCGTGAAATCAGCATGGAAAGAAAAAATTCCCATTGGTTAAACCCTGTTAAGCCGTGCCGTTCTTTTCTGGATACTAATTTGGTGAGCTCGTTCCTTAATTTTTGTGGTAAATTTTTTTTTTTAAATCATTAAATACGCGTCAATCAAATTTTGTGCTACTGTTTTATAGAAAGTTTCAGTACATTATCAGCATCGATACTGTACCGGAGCGGGGCTTATTGTAAGCAAAATCTTCGGAAGCATGCGATCTTGAAATGGGCTAATGGGTATACGGTAAAGCTATCACCTTCGAACTCCAGAGTTCAAACTTTTTGCAGTCATAAAAAATGGTTACAGGTAGATTTTATGGCCAATTGTTTTGTTCTTTAGTTTCAATAGTTGGTCTAGGCAATGATCCAATTTTATCAGAATATAGTTTTGTCATAGAAAAAGGTTGTGTTAGATCATGTTCGTAAAACAAATTCATGAAAGAAGGATACATATGTGGTAATATAGTAACAGGTTTCCTAATGACTACTGACTACTGATATTAGGCAGAATATAATTTTTCAACAAACACGTGTCGGTCGAATTAGGATTTATCCCAGGCTACTATTGTAGAAAAACGTAATTGATAGATATTGGGCGGAACGCGTCGGAATGTTTAGAAAAATAGGGCGCACGCTTGATTCGGTTTAAGATACATTGTTGACTGCTTTCGGGAACGTGATTTCATTTTAATAACTTGTATACTTGTTTAACCATTGAACGTTGCGTGAAAGTGGAACTTAATGAAGGCATCAGTGCTTTGTCATAGCTTTTAGTTTTCGGATTAGAAAAATCATCGGTTGCAGGACAGTGTTACCGATTTATATTGGATAATCCAAAGCTATGTTGATCATTATAACATTAAATTTTGAATAACAAATGATAAGACAATCTTATTCAAATGTCGTAATAATACCTCTGACCAAGGAAAAATGATTTATATTGTTTTCATAAAAGTTGACGATACAAATACTTATGAGGAAAGGAATTCCGCATTTCCTTTTCCCAAGTCCTTTTCCTCTCCTTCCCTTCCCTTCTTCTCTTTTCAGAAAGCGAGTAATGGCGCTATAACCATATGCCATATAGGGCTAGGACAAGAGTTAGTGCTCAGGTCCCAACCGCTAGAAGAAAATTGTAGCGAGCAAGGGCGCTATAACCTAGGCGAATACAGCATTCCCTCCGTATAGGTTACGTCCGCACACCGCTCTCTGTTGTCCTTCGACTGAGGTCGTCTGGATCGATTGAGGGATCGCAGTGGGTTGGCGGTGCCGTCCACGCTTGTACGGAGGGAGGACTGTACGCTCGAACACAAGGGGTAAATACCTGTGTTCAATCCCAGGAGATCGGACAACCAAGGAGTGTACATTAACTTTCTTAGCTCTGCCACTCCCAACGATTTATATAGCCTATTTTCAAAACCTGCATACGGAGCGGTTGGTACGGTATGTCCCCGCTCTTTGATTACCTGTGGATTAAATGTTAACCACTGTCTATACTTATTAAGTAGACATGGTAAACATTCACTTCCACAAAAATTAACTAAACGCTACACAGTAGGCCTGGCCACTTTATTGTTTGTTTCACATCCTTGATGTGCAGCAGGCATTAATAATGACAAGAAAAATGATAGATGTATCATTTTCCAGGATTCTTTCAAGTACTGGCTGTGTATGTGTAGACTAGACTAGACTAGACTAGATGGGACAACCTGTTTAGCTGTTTTTTCAAACTTTTCCAGAATAAAGTTGTTGAGTTCATCCATTATTATGAAAATATGGGTAATACCTACTATTTCCATCGGAAAACACAGTTTCGCCAATAATCACCCATATTCTTGTTTTCGTTCAAACCGTATTTTCCATACAAAAAAAAAGTTTATGGAAAATACGGTTCGAACGAAAACAAGAATATGGGTGAATGCAAATGGGACGAACTTGCGATAAACGGCAGTGCTAGCAAGTGCTATAATAGTAAAGTTTTCCTAAATTTATCCATACAACACGGAAACTGAGAATATCTCAGTAAGTGTAGAGTTTTCCAAGATTTTCTTGAATATGATTATGAATAAAATTAGAGATATGAATTGCATTCAGTCTATTAGTATACTCATAGACTGAGTAAAATTTTAGTGGATGTTCCTCATATTTTAGCAGTTTTTCCTGGAAAAGCGAGAAAATTTTACTCACTCAGTAAGTAACCCCACTTTTTGCAATTATTTTAGTCGAATTCGACTCAGTTACTGAGGTACTCTGATCGACCGTGTAGAAATAAAACGTCAATAAATTGATACTTGCTAACTTGAACGTAAAATCAAATCATCACATGGTTATTGTAGGACATGGCGTTCTCCTAATCTATTAATGCCTCTAAACTTTTTTAAGTTTTCTCCATATTTAATGCAAACGTATAAACGAGCAACTGGTTGGCGAATGGTTGATTTATTCCTCTCTAGTTACGATTTTTACAGATAGAAAGCATGTTCAGTGTAGCTTGCATCTCCCGGCAGGGCATTCCATTTTAGGAATCGTTCTCGAAGTCGGCTGGGTTCTTGCGGTTGATCTGGGTGTGCATACTTTCGACAAAGTTGTACACCAGATAGCCCATAACGAATGCTGCAAGCAAAACAATCCAAAGGAATCAATTGAGAAATACATACACACCTAGCAGGAATATCCAAACTTACGGGGCGCCACAATGAAGATCTGGGATCGCACTCGCCGGAGCGTATTCGGGATTGCCTTGGTCCACCATCCGGCGAAAGCCCTCTGTTCGTACGAGGAAATCTTGTGGGTGACGATGCCACGCACCTTGGCCAGCTCACCGAATCCGTGACCCATTGTGACTGTTGCTCAGTGGATTATCTCGTTTGGGAAAAAATACGTCGCCTGCGGAGGTAAGTAAAAATGAATGTGGAAAATTAGAACAACTTTGACTTCAGCAGATCCTGGAATTACATAACCAAAAGTGGAAACTTTGATTATTGCTGGGAAGGGCTTAAAACGTTTGTAACAATTATCAAATTTGAAGTTTATAAAGCCGAACGATGGTTTTTCAAAAGTATTGAATTAAAATAACGAAAATTTGCTCATAAAACGAATAAAAACACCCAATTTTCTTCAGACAAATTTTTCACAAACCTTTTTCGACAAAACGATGCGGAGACAATGACGAAACGTCAGAAAATGACGTTCGATGCTGTCATCATTGAAAAATCATCAAGATTGACGATTCGAACAATGAGAGTGGGGACTGCATCAGAGTACGATTGGAAATTTGCGCCACTTTTCAGGATTTCAAATTTTGACTTTTTCAGCAATTGGGTTCTTTAATTTTGGGAAAAAAAATACAATTTTTATACATTATCGGATATACAGGGGCTAAATACAGCCTCGTTAATCTGAAAGAGCTTTGTTTTCTGAGTACAAAGATATTTTTTTTGAACTCATAGACTTTCATCTTGATTTTTAAATCAAGATTTAAAGCAAAATAATAACATCACTGTTCGACACGAGGTTTGATACTAAACTAACAGCTCGCTTCCATACAAAGTTCTAGCGAGCGGTGCTAAGATGGAGATTTTTTCTAATGTAATCGCTCTTATTTATAATTTTAGTATACTAAAATTGATGAAATTTTGGATTTAAATTCCATTTTTAATACAGATTACGAATATACACCCGCATAAACGCGAACCATAAATGGTTAAAAATTGTTTATAATCCCTGCTAAACTTTAACTGAAATCGTCATGGAACTTTACATGAACGTTTGTGTGATAAAGTTTTAACCTTATGTATTTATGGTTCTTTGGAAGTGAACCTTACAAACAATGGGTTGTTAAGAACCATTACCATTCAAAATAGTTGTTCTCTTCATACATTTTCGGAGAGAGGACTATATTAAAACCTTTTCACTTATGGTTTGAGAACTTTAATGGTAATAGTTATGGTAGCCAGTAAGGTCCATTAATGGTTTAGTATTATCGGTCAACTTTACGTGAAATATATCGCGAATTGGTAATCAGTAATTTACAGGCAACCAATTCGCGATATATTCCACATAAAGTTGATGGATGTCACAAAACCAGCTATGAACCTTACCAACTACCATAACCATTACCATTCAAGTTCTCAAATCATAAATAAAATAGTTCCAATATAATTACTTTCCCAAAAATGTATGGAGAAAACAAGAATTTGAAATGGTAATGGTTCTTAACAACCTATTATTTGTAAGGTTCACTTGCAAAAAACCATAATACATAAGGTTTAAACTTTATCACACAAACGTTCATGTAAAGTTCCATAACCATTTCAGTTAAAGTTTAGCAGGGATTATAAACAATTTTTAACCATTTTTGGTAAGGTAAAGTAATGGTTTGCATTTATGCGGGCATTTACCTTAATAACGTATTGAGGCTAATGCATTGAAAATGGAACCGAAATCCAAAATTTCTACAATTTTGAAGCACTGGGAAGAGGAAAATGTTCACCTTTCCTGATTAATGTATTCACCGCAGGAGCTTGAAATCATCATCCACGTGGAATATTTTATTTTCTGTATCGGGTTTGCAGTGATCAGGCGTGTGCTTCCATATATTTTGATGAGAAAAATAAGGATATATAAAACTGTCCTAGCGGTTAAGATCTTCCGCATTTTTAATGGGTGGTTATTTCAGCTGTAAATCAGTTCAGATCTGTAGATAATCGAAAAATAAGAACGCTTCTATAATAAAGCAAAAAATTCATAAGCTCTCTATAATAAAGCAAAAAAATAACACTTCTGATGGAAATTTGCAAGTTGTGCAATAAAATGTACATTATTTTGAGTTTTGAAAATCGTCATTATGATGTAAACAAATGGATTGGATGACATTTCTCCTCAAAATCGGCTAGCGCACTCTACATTAATGGTGCATGAAAAGAGCCTATTTCGTAAAAAGGTTTACACGGTGTTTTCCGAAAACCCATTAATGGGTATAAAAACACCCATTTCCGCTTAAAGTGCCCCTCCTCATTTAATGGGTAAACTATGGTTTACTCATTAATGGGTAAATGGGGGATCTGTCAATAAATGGGTGTTTTTTACCCATCTTCTTGAATTGTGTTTTTCGTAAAATGGGTAAAAAAAATACCCATTTCTTCAAATGGAGGATGCTGGTCTTCGTTGATATAAAAAAACTTTCTAATATTTACATTGAGAATAAATGCATTTGTAGCGAAAAAAAAATATAACACGAGATATTATAATACCACATTGGATACAACTGTATAGACTTATCCGTAAGTCTCTCCAACGTTTCGGAATCTAACCTTTTCCAGAGATCGTCCATTTTTGCTAAAAAAAAGCGGACAGAAACTTTTTGCATTCCCAATGGTCGGTGACGGAATGAGACGATAAAATTTCCAAGTGTTTTTTCACCCACTAGTGGGTAGAAAATATACCCATTATGCAATCGTGAACTAATTCTTTAAATGGGTATTTTTCACCCATTTTATGATTTACAAATTCCCCCATTTTTTGACAGCTTCATACATGGTTTGAAAATGGGTATTTTTTTTACCCATAAATGGGTTTTCACGAAACACCGTGTACACGGTGTTTCGCGAAAACCCATTAATGGGTATAAAAATACCCATTTCCGCTAAAAGTGCCCCTCCTCATTTAATGGGTAAACTATGGTTTACTCATAAATGGGTAAATGGGTGGTCTGTCAATAAATGGGTGTTTTTTCACCCATTTTCTTATATTGTGTTTACCGTAAAATGGGTGAAAAAATACCCATTTTTACAAATGGAGGATGCAAGCGCTCGTTGATGTAAAAATGTTTTTAAAACATTGACAATAAATGCAGGTGTTCCGCTCAAATTTTTCACGAAACATTATAATACAAATTATCCATTGTATTGACTTATCCGTAAGCCTCTCCAACGTTTTGGATTCTAACATTTTCCGGAGATCGTTGCTGCGGACAGTAACTGTTTGCATCGAGGTTTGCATTCCCAATGAGCCGGTGACGGAAATGAGACGATAAAATTTCGAAGTGTTTTTTCACCCATTAATGGGTAAAAAATATACCCATTAATCAACCGTGAACTGATTCTTTAAATGGGTATTTTTTCACCCATTTTATGATTTCAAAATTCCCCCATTTTTTGACAGCTGCATACATGGTTTGAAAATGGGTATTTTTTTACCCATTAATGGGTATTCGCGAAACACCGTGTACGATAAAATGCGCTACTTAAAAAAAAAACAACAAATAGTGGTGCAAAATATTCGACCTATTCGCAAGTCCCACTGATTTTTTTTATCTGTCAAACTCACATGCCTGTTTGTTGTTGTTATTCAATCGGTCGAATTTCTCCGGCGGCATTTTCATAATTTTCTTCCCGAAGATTGCACATAAATCGAACCCGTTCCGAGAAAGTGACAAACCATGTCTACCCGGTGGTATCCGATCTTCCAGCGCGGCAACCCTCAGCTACGGGTTTTCCTTCCAAATTTCTGGATGAAACTGGTTCGACCGGAATACGAACAACCGCCGAATGTGGTGCAGTTTGCCTGCTCAATGGAAATGACCAAATATGACGTGAAGAACTACCTAGAAAAGATCTACAACATTCCGGTGGTGGACGTTCGTACGCGGATAGCCATGGGTAAGACCAAGCGGGACATGGTTATGGGTTATATCTCGAAGCATGATGACACCAAACTGGCCTACGTCACACTGGTAAGTTGGAATTGTGCCGTTTGTACATGTCACCATCAATTTCACGTACGATTCCTATTTCAGCCGAAGGATATGAAATTCGAGTTCCCCAATCTGTTTCCGGCGGAAGCCAAGCAACAACTGGAAGACGATAAGAAATCGTTGGATGAAGCTAAGAAAAATCACAAGAAGTATCTAGAAAAGAACAAACACCGACCCGGCACTCCCGGGTGGTTTTCGATTTAGGATTCTGTTTAGTTATTGTCATCAGTAGGAATTTGTAATAAACGTATATCGAACTAGTCCAATCGAATACATTTATTCATGTATGTATACCCGAAATAACAAGTGAAAGTCATAAAAAGCTTTCGAACCAAACCTAAATAATTCAACGTTTGAAACTGTTAAGGAAAAGCTTGATAGAATCCACAAATGACCGTTGTCATGACTGATTCGCCTTGTAAATTCAGCCATTTGCGGATTCCATCAATCTTTATAACTAATCAATCAATAATTGATTAGTGGTTGTGTTTGAATCCTCCAAACAGATCCTCTGCCGGCATTTCCTTCAAGAAGCGGTGATTATTCCAGCATTTCGGACACTGTTGGAAATCCATTAGGAACAAAACCTGCGGAAGATGTTGCTAGTTGTTCAAAATGTTTCATTCCCGAAACGAAAAGTAAACACTCACATTCGGATGAGCCGGACACGGTCGACGTGTTCGGCCAAACGATACGGAATTGCACCTGGAGCAGACGACCTTCGTTGGGCGTCGATCGCAAATGCAATTTGGATCGTAACGAGCCGCTTCCACCAAACGATTAGCCAATGCAGATTCCTTTGGTGGACATGAGGGCTTCGGCTTACGCTGTTGAGAGGATCGTAATTTACTTTTATTCATTGCACTGTAACTTGAATGTGCGATGGAAATTTAAATGTTCGCACCAAGCGCCGTAGAAAAAAAAATAACTGAATAGATCAGTGCACGGTCCCTAACCTCACTTTTTGCTCCCTATCATTTTGCTTCTGAGTAAAAGAGATAGCAACGAATGGGAGCCAAAACAAACCACCCAAAACTGTCAAAACTTACGGGTGAGAGAAGAGTGCGGCAAATCTTCGTGAACTGATCAATTATGGAAACGAAACGATGATTAAAAAATGATAAATTTTTTTTTTCGATTATTTCCGCGGAACAAAAACAAAAGCTACACGGCGAATGAGAACGACTCAAATTTGAGTTTAGTTCACTCATAATCGCCAAAAGTGCAGGAACTCAGCGATGAGTAAATTTGCCTCATGTTTTCCCAGGTTTTTCCAGGGAAAAAATCACGAATTTGAGAAAAGTAAAGATTGGATTCACTCAGTCTATTGGTACTACTCCGAGCCTGAATAAAATTTTCGTCAATTTCCTCATTTTCCGGCAGATTTTTAGGTTTTCCACAGGAAACCATGAGACAAATTTAACTCATCGCTGCGTTCCTGCCAGCGTTGCCAGATATACCGATTTATCGGTATTTGTACCGATTTTCGAGCTTGATACCGATATATAGATAAGACTCCTTAGAGCAACCGTAACGGTACGCTGCTAAACTCATTTTAGCAGCCCTCATCATAGCGCAGCTACCGTATCGGGGGTTGCCATACGAGTAACTAAAATAGCAGTCGGCTTCTCGGTGAGAAGCGCGCTACCAAATTTAGCAGCGCGGGAGAAAGGTTGCTATTCGTAGACTTATCAAAATGCTCACTACCGGTACGGACTACGGCGAGTAAATTGATAACCGCGATAGCAGCGACCGGTGTGGAGAAGAGTGACTAAACTAAAATGAGAGCGCTGTGCGCTGTTAAAATAGTCGCGCAAATGACAACGACCGTTACGGTTGCTCTAAGGATGTTTCTTCCGTCTTCTACAGGAATTTCCTGTAAATTGCTAACCGAAGTATCTATCGAATTCTCGATGGAGTTTCTTTCGTCTTCCTCTGAAAGTTTCTCTATGAGTTTCCTTGGGAAGATTTTTGTTACTTCTATTGGAAGGTTTTTCCGAGTTTCTTCTTGCTTCTCCTGGAAATGGCTACCCCAGGAATTTTCTTCCGATTTTCGAAACCTTTTTGGCTTCCTCTGGATGTGTCATCCGATTTAACTGGAAATTTTTTTTTTAATTTTTGAAAGGAGTGTCTTAATATATATTTTTTAATTTCCTCGGATGTTTTTCCGACTTTTTAAAGATCTTTTTTCAACTTCCTCCTGAATAGCCCCTTCTTTCTTTTTTCGGCTTCCTTCAGAAGCTAATTCAAACATCCCCTGGCAATTTCTGTTGACTTTCCTGGAAAGGCCGGTCTTAGTCCAAAAGCTTAAATTGAGCGCCTTGAGCAATGCCACGTCAAATGACGAACTAGAAAAACGAATAGGAAAGAAATACAAAGTTGTAGAAAAAAATTGTGATTGCTTGGGAAAATATACAAAAAAATGTGTAGATCTAATTCAAGTAAAAATAAAAAATAAAACATTTAAACCTAAATAACTCAAAATTTCATTCTTCGATTTTTTTACAATTTTTCTTTGAATAAAAAGCTCATGAAAATGCATTTACATTTGCATTTTTTTTAAGATACAGTAAATTCTCCACAATTCGATGTCAACTAACTCGTTAGAGCCGTAGTAAAAATGAATTTCATGAAACTATGTAAATGTACTATGTACTAATGTACTATGATAGCAATGGTTTTTTTTTTTCCAGAATGACATTATTTTTCTTTTCACCTTTGTCTCAGACGTTATTTTGATCAGATATAGCATTTGCGTGCTACAGTTTATTGAAAATTTTCAAAAACGCCATTTGAAAATTTGACAAGATCCAAAATTGCCAATTTTTGGCAAAAATGTGAATGATTGTCCATAACACACAATTATGCTAAGTTTTTCGGAGAAGGTCGATTCAAAAATTTATGTTTTTATCGCTTTTTTGCCTAGAACTGCTCCCTTAGAACATTTCTCGACCACTTTTTGTAAACAAAGCATTTGATCATCGATTTAGCGTAAATAACTGGTAGCACGCCTGCGCATGCTAAAAAGTACCATCAAATTGGGGAAATTTCCTCCTATCTGTTAGTGGTGTTAGTTTGCGTGGGCAAGCTACCAGTTACCCAACTAACAATTTTCACAATGTAAACGCTTTACTCATTTCATTTATACAGCCTCAAGCTGTATTCAAACGTTATACGATATGAGGAAACCTTTACTCAACCTCTATACAAGCAAATCTGGCGAACTTAGTCAGCTACTTATGGCTGTTGGAACGGTCGGGAGAAGCTCTTATTGCATATCCATTAACGCTTCTATACAGCTGTTATCCTGCTGTTTAGTTGTGTGTGAACTTGAAAGGCGCTTATTCAACCTTTTCCCGGTTATCCAATAATCACTACACAGCTTTCTCTTGAAGCCGGGTTAAATACTGTTTACGCTTTTTTATGAAGGAATTTATTTAGTTTATTTTGCTGTGAATCAAATTAATCGAAATTAGTTACAAATCATCACCAAATTATTTACCCTGCACCGGAACCTGGAATCGAACTCGAGACGACCTCATTGGCAAACCTTGACACTACCAACTGTGCTACGCCAACACTTTGAACTTATGTAAACAAATAAACATTCCCTTCTACGACAAAATTGCTGAGTAGAGGCTTTATAATAGTGCACACGAATCACTTTTCTCGACTAGTTTTAAAAGAGCAGAGTAAAAGCTGTAAAACTGCACACGTCTAAAAATAAACCTAGTTGACTGTGAAAATGCTTCCGAAGTTGCTCTAACACAGTTTATAAGCTGAGTACAGGTTGTTTAGTTGTTGAAAAAGCACTTTTGATGTTTATGTTATTCAGCAAGAGTGGTTGGTTGTTTAGAAGCCATCAAATGAGTAATATCCCGAATAGAAATTGTAATGTAGAAAACATCAGCAGACATCTTCAATACATTAAATTTTAACGTATATTGCTGTACCCTTAATGTATTCAGACTTCAGTGTGACGTCCAAGTACATAAAAATACATTAGCCTCTAACGTTACATCAGAATCAAACGTCTTGACGATGTAAAATTTGACATCAGAATACATCCAATAACAACAGAACCTAACGTTACATTAGAATCAAACTTCATCACGATGTAATTTGTTGCACGCATAAAACATCAGAATACCTCCAATGACAACAGAACCTAACGTTACATTAGAATCAAACTTCATAACGATGTAATTTGTTGCACGCATAAAACATCAGAATACATCCAATGACAACAGAACCTAACGTTACATAAGAATCAAACTTCATCACGATGTAATTTGTTGCACGCATAAAACATCAGAATACATCCAATGACAACAGAACCTAACGTTACATAAGAATCAAACTTCATCACGATGTAATTTGTTGCACGAATAAAACATCAGAATACATCCAATGACAACAGAACCTAACGTTACATTAGAATCAAACTTCATCACGATGTAATTTGTTGCACGCATAAAACATCAGAATACATCCTATGACACAACAATAAAAAGTGGCTTGCAGTGCAGTGATGCCTCCTATGCATAGTTTTGTGACATTATCAATTGCAAATAAAATTGAACTCTTTAGAAGAGTGGAAACGCTAATAAAAGTGCACTTAGACGTTGTATCGTCTTGAAGCCTTCAGCGCACTTATTCTTCATTCACCAAGGAATAAGTGCGATGAAGACACAACAACAATTTAACGTAAAACCGCACTTTTATTAGTGTTTCCGCATTCATAATCTCATAAATGTGCCCAAATCGCAATCCTCGACGCAATCATATAAAATAGCACATTGCGATTACAAGGTAGAGCTTACCACCATTAACTCTTGCACGACTGACATAGCCTCAAATCACTGAAAGAAATTTTGGCATGTCCTGTGGGCAATGTTTATTTGTAAGTAAAACAAATGCCCTGGTGACGTTGCAGTGCAAGAGTTAATTAGTGTTTTAATTGATTATTATCGTTTCAATTGAAAACCGATTTTACTTTTGTTCTGTACGTTAAACATAACGTTGGCCATAGTGTGCTGTATACCGCATCCGTGTACGAATACAGCACACTATGTCCGACGTTATGTTTAACGTATATACAGAACGTTTTCAACGAGGTTTTCATTTGAAACGATAATATTAATTCCAAGGCAAACGAAGAAAATCATCTGGCCACCCTGCATGCATCTGGTTATAGTCCATTCCTCGGTCCATTCTATGCGCTCGAGTATTGATGGTCCGAATGTGAGGATAACAATAACAAACCAGCAT